TGCACACTTTAAACTTATGTCATATGTCAATTACATCTCAATAAAACTGGAAAAATTAAATAAATAAAAATAACAAAGATATATAAAATAAAATAATATGCCACAGGCTCAGAAAGCAGTGCCCAAGGAGAACTGATGGTAACAAATTTGGAATAAAAAACAAAGAAACATTGTATTAAAGTTTCTAGCCGGTGCAGTGAGGCAAGAAAATGAAATAAAGTCACTCAAATTAGAAAGGAAAAAATAAAGCTATTTTTATTTATATGATTTTCTAAGTAGAAAATTCAATGGAATCTACAAAAAAGCTACTAGAACTAATAAGTAAGAGTAGCAAGGTTGCCAGCTTAATATAAAAAAGTAATTGTATTTCTATACACAAGCAAGGAGCAGTTGGAAACTGAAATTTAAAAATCAATACCATTACTATTGCATCAAAAATAATGGAAATAATGGAATGGAATAAATCTGACAAAAGATTTGAAAAATCTATACCCTGAAAAGTACAAGACACAGAAATTAAAGAAGACCAAAATAAAAGGAGAGATACATCAACCTCATGGATCAGAAGAATCAATATTGGTATTATGTAAGTTGTTCCCAAATTGACCAATCAGATTCCATGCAATCCCAATCAAAATTACAATAGACATTTTTGTATACATTGACAAATTGTTTTAAAAATCATATGGAAATTCAGAGGGCCTAAAGTAGTTAAAATGATTATGAAAATGGATGAAGCTGAAGGACTAGCCCTACCTGATTTCTGACTTATTAGTATTCGAGATAGTGTGGTAATGGAGTAAAAATAGACAAATACATCATTGGAACAGAAGAGACAGGCCCACCCGTAAATGGAAAATAGATTTTCAACAGAGGTGAGAGACAACTCGGTGGAGAAAAGATAGTCTTTTCAACAAATGGTGCTGGAACACCTGGATGTCCATATGCAAAAGTGTTTACTTTGACCCATACCTTTTTCATATACAAAACTCAACTCAAAATGGATCCTACACATAAATTAAAAAAAACTATAAACTTCTAGAAGACAGGAGAAAATCTTTGTGACCATGGAGACAGACAAAGATTTCTTAAATTTGATACCAAAAGCACAATCATAAATGGCAAAATTGATAAATGGGATTTCATCAAAATTAAAAGTGTTTACTCTCTGAAGGACACTGTTAAGAATAACAAAACTAACATGTAGAAAATGGGGGGAAATATTTGCAAATCACATATCTGATAAAGGACTTGTATCCAGAAATATAAAGAGCTCTCAAATGTTAATCATAAGAAAATGAAAAGTGCACTTAAATATGGGCAAAAGATTTGAAAAGATATTTCACCAAAAAAGATTTACTAATGGCTATTGACCACATTAAAAAAATTAAACATCAACATCATTTCTCATCAGAGAAATGCAAACTAATACCACAATGAGGTATCACTACATCCTCATTAGAAGGTTAGCATTATTAACAATGGCCATACCAAGTGTTGGCAAGGATGTGGAGGATGTAGAAGTGTTAAGTGATACAACCACTTTGGAAAACAGTTTGGATATTTCATGAAAAGTTAATCATACACACCTTATGATCCAACCATTCTACACTTAGTTACCTAAGAGAATTGAAAGTATGTATCCATACAAAGACTTTCCATGAATGTTCATAGCAACTTTATTTAAAAGAGCCAAAAACTAGAAACAACCAAAATGTATATCAATAGGTGAATGAATAATCAAACTATAGTATATCCATACAACGGAAGAGTACTCAGCAATAATAAGGAGTAAGCTATTGCCATCCACAACAACATTAGTGAAGTTCAAAATAATCATGCTAAGTGAAAGAAGTCACACATAATTCCATTTATATGAAATTTACATAAAATTCTAAGACATTCTAACCAATGTATAGTGAAAAAAGCAGATAAGTGGTTGCCTGGGTTTATGAAGGTGTGGGTGGTGGGAAGGGGCACATAGGAGAAAGTACGATGGGGTAAAAGAAACTTTGGGGAGTGATCATATGTTCATTATCTTCATTGTGGTGATGGTTTCCTGGGTGTATTCACATATCAAAACTTATCAAATTGTACATTTTAACTCTGTGCAGTTTATTGCATGTCAATTACACCTCAATGAAGCTGTTTTTTAAAAGTTTTAGCATATCAGGAGGCATTTCAGGCACATCCCTTGAGTAATATGAGACAGACAGATGAATAGTTAGATGCAGACAATAGATAGATAGGTGATAGATAGATAGATAATTGATAGATGATGATGATGGTGATGATAGATGATAGATAGATAAGTAGATGATAAGTAGGACAAAATAATAAATTATATTTTAAAGTGCTATTAAATGGTAGGAAATAACAATGATCAAAAATAAATTATATTTTAAAGTGCTATTAAATGGTAGGAAATAACAATGATCAGTGTTTGGAAAGGTATCTTGAATTCTTAGGCAATCCCTGAAGATTGAAAAAGAAAACATGAAGACAAGTTTGGTGACTGCTTGGAGACCCCATACTGAAGAACAACTTATCAGAGGAAGCTTTGACTCCAGAGGTGCTCAGAAGGGCTTCAGAGAGCAATAGTTGATCTGAGCCAATCCTGCTCTTTCTGAGGGAGCTGCAAATTCCTCCAGATCCTCCTCATTGCCCTACAAGAGGGCAAAGGTGAGTTCCATGAACTTCACATCTATGTCAGGCCATAAGACGCATCCGTGCCAGCCCAGACCTACCAAACATGGAGACCAAGAATGCAACTGAAATTCAGACACCTCTGAAGCAAATTGCAGCTGAGGGGCCTGGGAGAAAGAGAGGGAAAAATACAGAAGAGTGGATATCATTTAAGAGTACATACTTAGGAGACTTGAGATCAGATCCTCCCTGCTCTGCCACTTTCCTGATAGATAACTTGGGCAAGTTACTTAAGCTTTTTGGGTCTTACTTCTTCCTTCTGCTAAATGAGGTCAATAATAATTACTTTCTATTAAACTTGTCTGGAGGACTAAAATAAATGATTCATGTGAAGCTTTTAGCATAGTGTCTAGCATTAGTTTAAGTGTGCATTTAAGTGTACACTAGTTTGAGTTACACTTAAAAACTATTGGTGAGCTCTTTACTTCTGGAGGAATCTGGATCCAATTCTAATCTTGGCCCAAGAGAGACTGCTCCAGACAGTTCTGACATGAAGTTGTCCACTGATCAGCTGTGGGTCCCTCTACCCATTGGTGCACATGGGCTGTGGAACCTGGGACAATCACCTTAATAACACTATTTATGAATTAATGTTTATGTCTATAGAACTTCACCCAGCACCTGCCCATCCTCCACGTGCCCCAAGTTGTTGTGAGAACAAATGAAATACACAGAAAATCTGGCCCAGAGTAAATGCTCAGTAGTTGAGGAAGCAGGCTGATAGGCCCTAGCTAATCTGAAGCGATAATAAGCTAAGAAGTGACAGACTGGACACTTTAGTGCCAAATTCTGAGCTCTTTCTACAGTACAAGTGTCTCTTAGCACCTACTGCAGAAGCTGATGTGTCAGGGAACATTGCATGGCAGCTAATATCTGAAAAATGGCCTCCAAGATGCACTCTGTGGAGTTGCTTCACCCCACTCTGCAGGTTTTAAGGGATTTGTGCCAAAACACGAACAAAGGCTGATGTGTGAATCTTGGCCGCCAGTGCAATTTTTCCCAATATCTTTTCTTAAACACGTCTATACAACTCTTTTCTAAAATTTTTGTTGTATGTCCTTAAAATGAAAGTTCCTAGAGTTCAGAGCTGCTATCTGTTTAATCTATGCACTTCATTTTCTCATACACAACTACATGCACGCACACACACATTGACACATGCTGCCACATTACACAGTGCTAGCACATCGGGGCTATAAAATAAATGTTGTTGACTTCCTTCTACCTCTACAGATTGGACTTTTATCCTTTCTTTACTAGGTAAAAGGAAAAAGAACAGTGCAATAAGAATAAATTCCAGATTGAGTGATTATATAGGGTGGGCAGTAGATCAGAGCTGGAGACTGTATGCATGGTATTGAAAAGCTCAGGCTTGGCTGGGGTGGGAGCCCCACTGTAGCATTTGCTTGATGACCTTGGCACAATTAACTCGAAGTCTCAGATGCCTCATCTACCTATAAGTCAGGAATAATAACAAAACGCCTCACAGTGTTGTGGTGAGAATTAAATCAGGTAATTCCTGGAGCAAACATTACAATTCCTGGAAGGTGATAACTGCCTAGTAAATCTTAGTTGCTATCTATCATCATCATCATCATCATCATCACTAATTAAGGTATTATTATTCAGAACCCACAGAAACAATAAGAAGAGAAAAAATGAAAACATAAACGATGGGATTCAGAAAATCCCTTTGGATCAAAACAGTAGGTGCATTGGTAGATAGCTTTTTGATTTGTTTCACTCATCAACTGTGCCAGGCAATGCCTTACATTCCACAGACGCTAGTGAATAAGACCGACATGGTCCCTGTCCATTCATGCACTGAATCCTCAAAAATATAGTCCTATAAATTACGTGAACTCACTTGGCAGATAAGAAAACTGAGGACTGAAGTAGCTGGAACTTAAAGGTCGACATTGGAACCTAAGATTCATTCATTCATTCAACAAATATTTCTTGAGAGCCTTCTGCGTGTTAGGTGCTTTGCTAAGCACTGGGTGTACAGAAATGAATCTCACAGATAAAAGTGCTTCTTTTCATGTAGTTTACTTTCTAGCTGTGAGGACTAGATAATATCAAATATGTAAAACATAGTATATCAGATCATGACAAGTATTACATGATATAGTAAATCAGAAAGTGGAGGTGGGAAGTTTAGGTGCAATATTAATAAGGTTTTCTGGGAAAGTCTTCCCAAGTAGGTGATATTTGAGGAAAGACAGAAAGGATGGAGAAACTAAGGAATGACATATTTGATGAGGGTCCATCTAGGGCCTTCCAGAAGCCTTTGATCAGCTCAGGGCTTTCACAACAGACTCCTTGACCTCCTTATTCCTCAGGCTGTAGATGACAGGGTTCAATATTGGGGTCACCACTGTGTAGAGCACGGACACCACTTGGTCTGCCTCCGATGACTGGCCTGAATTATCTCACAGGTACATAAAGATGAGGGTCCCAAAGAAGAGAGCAACAGCATTGAGGTGGGAGGCACAGGTAGAGAAGGTCTTGGCCTGGCCCCAGGCAGAGCAGACCTGCATGATGGCCATGATGACAAACAGGTAGGAAACCAAGATGACCAATACACAAGCAGGCATGACAAAAACTGCAAACACAATAATCCCCACCTCCTGGGTGTAGCTTTCCCCACAAGCGAGTTTTAACAGAGGGGGTTGGTCACAGAAAATAAAGTTGATCTCATTGTTTCCACAAAAGAAGAGAGTGAAGGCAGTTACCGTTCAAATAAAGGCGCTGGAAAAACCAGCAACATAAGCCCCAGCTACCAAACCCAAGCGGGCCTTCTCGGTCATGGTGGTGACATAAAGCAGCGGTTGGCACACGGCCACATAGCGGTCACAGGCCATGACCGCCAAGAGGTAGCAGTCAATGGAAGAAAAGAAGGTGAAGAAGAAGAGCTGGGCGGCACAACGCACTTTGGAGATGACTCTGCCGCGTTCCAGCAGCACTGTCAGCATCTGGGGGATGATGGCGGAGGACTAGCTGATGTCCACGAAGGAAAGGTGGCTGAGGAAGAAGTATGGGGGTGTGGAGACGGCAATCTTTGCAAGTCAGGAAGATCGTTCCTGAGTTCCCCAGAAGAGTGAGTATATAGAAACCCAAAAAGACAGAAAGAGAGGAGAACAGTGCAAAAAAAGAACAGTGCAATAAGAATAAATTCCAGATTGAGTGATTATATAGGGTGGGCAGTAGATCATAGCTGTAGACTGTGTGCATGGTAATGAAAAGCTCAGGCTTGGCTGGGGTGGGAGCCCCACTGTAGCATTTGCTTGATGACCTTGGCACAATTAACTCGAAGTCTCAGATGACTCATCTACCTATAAGTCAGGAATAATAACAAAACATCCCTCGGGATGTTCAGCGAACACAGTAAGGAAGAACTCTGTCACTACGGTGTAATTCCTCCCAGCCTTCCATTCAGCGGTTGACCTGTGAAAGCTGAGACGAAAGCACCCGATAACCGGATCCCTGAAGACAAGTTCAATTCATTTTATATTTTTAACCAATAATTTCATTATGACAATTTAATAAGGATACTTAACTTGTTTTACCATGGAAACCGAACACAATTTCTCCCACAATTTAGTCAGGGTACCCTTAGGCCAAAGTGTATCTAGTCTCCCTCAATATCTTGTTTTTGCCTACTCTCCCCTTGTTCTTATTTTGTGGTATTCATCCTCCTCAGGAACTTAAGGCTCTTAGGTTTTCTGTTCTTTTGTTTTCTCTTATTTACTTATTTAGAAACCAACACAACATTGTAAAGCAATTATACTACAATAAAAATTTTAAAACAAAATAGAAAACAAAAGATTGAGTCATTTTAAAATAAAAGACTTTAAACTGAGTGTCTGATAGGTAGGCATTCGACTTCAACAAACTTCGCAGCCTAATGTGGAAATGGACGAATATAGAGCTCAACACAATATAAGATAAAAAGTGATGAATGCTTCCATTATACTAAGAATGGAGAGCAAGTGATTCTCTAACTTATGTCAGCTCTTGTATTTGCAACTCTGTCCCCAATTAGCTGTTTGATCTTCCACAAGGCACTTAACCTCTCTGAACCTCAATTTCCTCTTCTGCCAAAAGGGGATCATAATATCTGTCCTGCTTATAAGATAAGGTTAATGCATAGATTAAAACAGATGCAAAAGTGCATTGGAAAGCTAAAAGCACTCTATGTATATATGGTGGCTATTTAAGTTTTAAATGAACATTTTAAGGAAGGGTAATTTATATTCTATGAACAAAAAAAGCACAAACCAAAAAAAAAAAAATCCATTAGCAATCAGCAATGGGCTCTGCTTACAGGAATATTTCTATTTTCAGTCTAACAACATGCATTTTTAACAAAAAGCTGTTATCCTAGTTAGAGTTGGCTGGCTTATGAAGGGTTTTCTGTTTGTTTTTTGGTTTTTGTAAGTACTCGCATTAACCTTGGAATCAAGAGAGCGAACATAAGCTCCTTTTAGCCCCTCACAGAGCTCCGTAAGCATTGTTTGGCTGTTCTCATAGTCCTTAATAAAAGCAGCAGTTTGATAATAAACAACACCCAAATTTGAAAGCAGAAGTATTTCTGCAGTCTGGTGTTGTCTAAGCACTGTTGGAGGAATCTGGGTTAATGGAGTTGAAGGTTCTTAACAGAGTTCTAGAAAAGAGCTGTAGAGGAGGGCTTTGGTCATATTTGATTACCTGATACACCAGCAGCCAGGCCAATACTAAACTGACCCATTAGAAATAATAACAAAGAAGAGAAATTAGATTCAGAAGCATTAGCGGGACACGAACCATCCTCACCTGAATTCCACTTCACTAGTGTCTTCTTCCCTTGTTTAGTGTTTCCTCTGCCAGTGACCTGCCGATCCAGAGGAGACCTAGGCCGTAGCTCACTCACAGTAGATGTGTGACCCTGGGCAAGTCACTTTTCTTCTCTGAACTTCAATTACGTTGTCTTTGCTCCCTTTAAATAAACAACAATGCAGTGTGAGTCCATAATCATAGCAACTTGGTTGATAGGGGGTTGCTTCCAGAACCACTATGTCTTATTCTCACTTCATGGAGTTCCTCTCACCCTTGACAGAACAATACATCCCTGATGTTAGAATTGCCCAGGACTTTTTGCAGACTCAGCCCAAGAGAGCAGGGCTTGTGGACCAGTCTCTCTCCCTGAGTTTCTGATCCTGCACTAGACCTTCCTGGTGGTGCTTTTTGTATTCTCTGTCCCAGCATCATGCCATAATTGGTTCCTGAGTTAAGTCTCCAGGGAAAGACAATTTATCTTCCTAACAAGGTGTCTAATATCTTTGAAGATTTCTCTTTAATTTCAAACTCTCAAAGCCCCATCCTACATCCTGCCACCAGGGTCTGATGAGGCTGGTTCCTAGTCTTGCCTCATTTCTATTTTGTACCAAAAGGAATATATTCCTTGGAAGATTTCCTAAGTTCTTCCTATAGGGTAAAAAGTATATCGAGTCTCATATGCAATGTTGGGGCTTCGTGGCCACAGTACCTAGAGGCTTTTCAATTAGCCCTTCCGTCTTAAATAAAAGTCTTTAACTGTCTGCTTAGCATTTAATCAGAAAGAGGCATTAAACTGTCTCCTTAGACCTGACAGCCCGTTCTCTCAGTAGTCCCTGTCAATTCGTTGTGTTCTCTCCACCTTCTGGCAGATTCCAAGAGAACAAATAACTCTGCAGTATACTACTCTTATTCAAACAGACCCTATATTGTCTTTTTCAATCAGTAGGAAACTTTTAAACTAATCCCAAGCTTTCTAACTACTAGCTTAATTTTTCCCACCACATTTTTCCCGTAACACAATTGACACAGGAACTATTTATTAACCATCCCCCTTTTAGAGGATCTATACATTTTCAGCTGGGATTTTAATAAACAGACCAACCATCATTAAAGGGATCAAACATTTCTTATGAAAATTATAATATGCATGTTAAAGCATCCTGTCTTCTAGAATAAATATCATGTCTTCGAAGGTCTAAATGTTTTACTTTATTATAAGTGATCTTAAACTTAATATTCTTTGGCTGCCTTCACCCTGAATTTCCATGTTTCGCTTATCTGCTTCTTCTGATTTAAAATTCTGTTACTGGAATTCCAGGTGTGACACATCATTTTTGGCTGGCTGAGTTTGGAATCATCCTCTGTTTGTGAGATACTGTCACCACCTTTATGCCCTCCCATGATGGTTTATATCATTCATACTCCTGGGATCTTGTTTTTCTGGTAATCCAAGGGACAGGTAGAAAAGGAGTTTGAGTTCTAAGAATAGCGATCAGAGGGAAAACTGAAAATGACGAGTAGGTGGGGCCTGTTCCCTCCCAGTACCTTGGATTTGATTGAGGTACCTACAGTCAGAGAAGTGAAGAGCAAGACCCAGTGGACTCCTGGGAAGCTTTGGATGCAGGCTGAGCTGTTGCAGAGCCCAGGGACCCAGTGCAGACTAGGATTCCCTCCTGCCCACTCCTGCATGGAACACAGCAATGCTCTGCCTCCCCAAGGTCAAAAGCTTTAAGAACATAAAGAGTTGACGTCTATGATACAGATTCTGCAAATACCATTATGGGCAGAGGAAATGGTAGAAATCACTAAGTGGATTCTGAGGCAAAGGATGTGACAGATGGAACATGTGGGGAAGAAGAAAGAACAGGACATATTTCCGGTGGTGACAGCAACTGACAGACATATTATTGTGAGCACGTAGAGATTCATGTGAGGCGTCCCTGGAAACTACTACAGGAGTTTGAAGAATACTTTGAGCAGGGTCAGCTTTATAACCGGACTATCAAACTACTACCTTAATTTAATTATTAAAAATAAACATAACCTGCATTTCTCTAATAATTAGTGATATTGTGCATCTTTTCTTGTGCCTGTTAGCCATCTGTATATCTTCTTTGAAAAAATGCCTATTCAGATTTTTTGCCCATTTTTTGATTGGGTTGTTTTTTTGACATGGAGTTATATGAGCTTTGTATATTTTGGATATTAACCCCTTATCCATAATATCATTTGCAACTATTTTCTTCCATTCTATAGGTTGTCTTTTCATTTTTGTCAATGGTTTCCTTTGCTGTGCAAAAGTTTTTCAGTGTAATTAAGTCCCATTTGTTTATATTTGCTTTTATTTCTTTTGCCTTAGGAGATGATCCAAGAAGATACTTCTGTGCTTTATATCAAAGAGTGTTCTGTCTATGTTCTCTTCTTGGAGTTTTATGGTTTCCGTTCTTACACTTAGGTCTTTAAATCATTTTGAGTTTACTTCAACAATGAGCTATCACCTCACATCTGTCAGAATGACTGTCATTAAAAAGTCTACAAATAACAAATGTTGGAGAGGATGTGGAGAAAAGGGAACCCTTGTACACAGTTGGTGCAGCCATTATGGAAAACAATATGGAGGTTCCTCAAAAAACTAAAAATACAGCCAACATATGATCCAGCAATTCCACTCCTGGGTATATGTATCCAGAAAAAACAGAAACTCTCAGAAAGAAGCATGCACCACAGTGTTCATAGCAGCACTGTTTATAATAGCCAAGACATGGAAGTAAACCAAGTGCCCATAAAAAGATAGTTGGATTAAGAAGATATTCATATATATATATATATATATATATATATATATATATATAGGCACATAATTATATATAATGGAATATTACTTAGTCATAAAAAAGAAATACTGCCATTTGCAGCAATATGGATGGACCTATTATGCTTAGTGAAATAAGTCAGACAGAGAAAGACAAATACAGTGTGATATCACTTATATGTGGAATCTAAAAAAACAATATAAATGAATGTATATGCAAAACAGAAGCAGACTCACAGACATAGAAAACAAACCTATGTTTACCAAAGGGGGAGGGACAAATTAGGAGTATGGGATTAACATATTCAAATTACTATGAATATAGTTCAGGGAGATCAGTTTGGTGCTTTGTGACCAACTAGAGGGGTGGGATAGGGAGGGTGGGAGGGAGACACAAGAGGGAGGAGATGTGGGGATATATGTATATGTATAGCTGATTCACTCTGTTATAAAGCAGAAACTAACACACCATTGTAAACCAATTATACTCCAATAAAGATGTTTTAAAAAAAAAGAAAACAAAAAACTACTATGTATAAAACAGTAAGCACCAAGGATATACTGTATAGTACAGAGAATTACAGCCATTAATCTTGTAATAAACTATACTGGAGTATAATCTACAAAAATACTGAATCACTATGCTGTACACCTGACACTAACACAATATTGCAAATCAACTATAGTTCAATTTTTAAACATTTGAAAAAATAAACATAATCTAAATACTGAATCCTAATTGATGACATCATTCTACATTATGTAGTGTAGAAGAGTACTAATACTGATGTCTGCAACTTACTTTGAAATGCGTCAAAAAATAAGGTGGATTTGTGGATGAACTGATGGATGTATAAATGAATAGATTGATTATAAATATGTGATAAAACAAAAACATCTAAGTATTGGGTATCGGGAGTTCATTATGCATTATTTTCAACATTTCTGTATGATGGAAATCTTTCATAGAAAATTTGCAAAAAAAAAATGTTGTCTTGTAGTAAGGCGTGCCACATCTGAATTACACAGGATTAACTTCAGATTCTTTTGTCACTTGTCCTGAGAGCTAGAAATCTCACTCCAATGTCTTCTCAGGCTGCCTCTTTCTCTCCTTGCTTTCTGTCCCTGGAACTAAAAGTTCTGGTCCTTTTTTAATGCCTTATGCCATGATGTATTCATCTGAACATTGAGCGTGCTATAAATAATGAGTTCCCAGAATGCTGGCACTGCAGAGGAGATGGTTCTCAGGAATTTCCAAGGTTGAACAAGGTTGGATGGCTAAGACAACCTGGCTCTGTTGAGAATTTTCCTCAGAGCCTCCTTCACTTCCTTGCTCCTCAGGCTGTAGATGAGAAGGTTCAACATGCGGATCACTGTTATGTAAAACACAGACACCACCCAGTCCTCCTCCGAGGACTGGCCAGAGTTATGTCTCAGATACATGAAGATGAGGGTCCCAAAGAAGAGTGACACTGCAGTGAGGTGAGACGCACACGTCCAGAAAGTCTTGGCCCGGCCTCCTGCAGAGGGAATCCTCATGACGGCCAAGATGATGAGCAGGTAGGACACCAAAATCACCACCATGCAGACAGGGATGACAAAAATGGCAAGCACAATAATTACCAGTTCCTGAGTGTAGCTGTCCCCACAGGTTATCTTTAAGAGAGGAGGGAGGTCACATAAAATGAAGTCAATCTCATTGGTTCCACAAAAGGAGAGTGTGAAAGCTGAGACCTTCCACACCAAGGCGCTGAAGACACCAGCAACGTAAGCCCCCCCCCCAACACACACACACACACACAACCCAAACGGGCCTTCCTCCTCATGATAGTGACATAAAGCAGGGGTCAGCACACGGCCACATAGCGGTCATAGGCCATGAGGGCCAGGAGGTAGCAGTCAATGGAGCCAAAGAAGGTGAAGAGAAAGAACTGGACAGCACAGAGTGTGTAGGATAAAGTGGCCCTGTGCTCCAGCAACACAGCCATCATCAGAGGCACAGTGACAAACGAGTAGCAGATGTCCATGAACGAGAGGTGACTCAGAAGGAAGTACGTGGGGCTGTGGAGTCGGAGATCCACGCGGATCAGGATAATCATGCCCAAAGGGGTGATGAGATACATAAATAGAAACAGGAGGAAGAGAGGTAGTGCCCATTCAGGACAGTCAATGAATGCCATGAGGAGGAATTTGGTCACCAACGTGAGGTTCTTCTCTGCCATGAAGCCAGAGGCACCTGAGAAGGCTAGGATGAGAGCAAGTTAGGGAACTATAAGTAGGAATTAACTGTATTTCTAGGTTACATGTACTGAACAAGTGCTATGGACAAAACATGCCAGGGGCTACGTGGGGCTTCAGAGATGCCTGGTCTTAACTCCTGCTTCTAAGGGACTTCTGTGACATGTCAAGAAAACTGATGTGGGGAAACATTTTCAGAATAGGAGTGCTTTTTCTCCCACTTTTTATGGCTAACTAGCTGTGTGAGCCCCTGCAGTCAGATAACCACAGAACCAAACTTTCCCTATCGCTCCAATAGGGGCTGATACATGGGGTCCTGTCTACCATGGAAATATCCATCTCAGGACTCTGTCCCTTTTTCTCTATGACCATACCTCCTCCCTTATTTCAAACCCTCTTCATCTCTTGCCTGGATCAAAACAAGAGCCATATAGCTAACAGCTCCCGCTGTCCTCAGACTCGCTTCTTGCCAACTTTTTTTTTAACATTTTATTTTTGTTGTTGTTGTTTATATGTGCTTTTTATTGTGAGTTTTTAAAATTTTATTTATTTTTTTATACAGCAGGTTCTTATTAGTTACCTGTTTTATACGTATTAGGATATATACGTCAATCCCAATCTCCCAATTCATCCCATCGCCAACCCCGCCCCCGCCCCGCCCCTGCTTTGCCCCTTGGTGTCCATACGTTTGTTCTCCTCACTGTGACCAGAGAGAGATTTCTAAGACTTTCTCATCCCCCTGTTAAAAATCCAGTCATGGCGCCCCATCAAGGATGGGATATTCTTTAGACTCCTCAGTGTGTTGGGGAAAGGCCTCCGGGGGGGTCTCCCCCACTTACTTCCTCGTGTCCCTTTCTTATACCTCACTGCTTGCACCTTCAGCCACGCTTCTCTCCAGCCACCTGAATTGTTTACAGCTTTTCTAATGCCCCACATTCATTCACATCTCTGTGCTTTCCGCAGGCCACCCCTTCTGCTGAAACACCTTGTCTTTCCCATCCTCAGGGTCCTGCCCAACTCCTATACCACCTTCAGACCTCAGCTCAGATCCTACGTCCCACAAGAAGTCTCCCTTGAGTCTGTCTTCCCTGGTCAGGGTATGTGCCTCTGGAGCTCAGCACACTGTAAAGCCTCAATATGTTTTGGGGGAATAAAGTTATCAAATGAGATATAAAGCATATTGCAAAGAGAAAGGCATTGTGCAAATCTTCAAGGGATTATGTTTGTTTTGTTTTTTTGCGGTACGCAGGCCGCTCACTGTTGTGGCCTCTCCCGTTGCGGAGCACGGGCTCCGGATGCGCAGGCTCAGCGGCGATGGCTCACGGGCCCAGCCGCTCCGCGGCATGTGGGA